TCTGTTTCTCCTCCTGCCATCCTAGCAATTGGAAAGCACAAAGTGCAAGAAGATAAATAGGTACCTGTTGTAAACAAAATCTGCCCTTATGCTTTTAAGGGGGCCACAAGAGCCTTTATAGAGTCCTTTGCCGGTTCTCCCATCAGTAGGAGAAAATAACAGAGGCCAACCAAAGAATATTGAGAAGCAAAGCAGCTAGTAAGCCTGATCTTTATTGAAATGTTGCAACAGGTTGCTCCCCTCACATGGAGGAGAACGGAGGAGGACCCAGAACAAAGGTGTGCCTGCCCTTATATAGCCCTTTTAAATTCCCTGCCCTGGAGCTCAAGACCACCCCTCCATACATCATACATACATCACAGAAAAGGCGGTCTACAACAGAAATTTGAATGTTGTTGCTTTTCCTGTGCCTCTCCAGACATGTGGTCCACATATCTATGTATGTGTTTGGTTGGTACATTTATGAACATTTATTATATATATAAGACCTTAAATTTTTTTTTTACATACCGCTCCAGCGGGAAGGTAAATGGCGTTTCCGTGCACTGCTCTGGTTTGCCAGAAGCGGCTTAGTCATGCTGGCTTCCTCGGTGTTACGGAAAAATCTGGGTGCGGGGTTACTCTGCCACCCAGCTCGTCGGACTAAGTCCGCGGGTCCCTGCGGAGGAAAATGAGCTCAGCCGGACGCAGGAGCAAACTACAGAAGATCCAAGTTTATTGCGCAACAGGTTCAAGGCGAGATTGAACCCCGAGAAAGGGGTGACAGGAGTTTTTGAAACTTCCCTCCATGTCCCAGAATACAGTGCAAAATACATCATTATTGCGTCATGAATACATTAGAAATAGGTTGGGTTACACAGGTGACATCATGAATACATTAGAGAGGGGTTGAGTTACACAGATTAACATATACAGTGGGGGGGGGAATATGCAGAGTCAGAGATATGTGCAGATAAGCGCTTCCTGACTACCGGTGATGAGAAGACAATAGTCCAAGTATGCAGAGTCAATAGTCCAAGTATGCAAGGTCTAGCACCTGGCGTTGCCCGGAGGAAAGCTTGGGCAAAGCGACTTGGCCGGATTAGGGTCTTCCTGAGTACGTGACTCCTCGCTCGAGGGATTATGGAGGCCGAGGAGGTGTCATGGAGTCCTGAATGAACTGAGTCGATTGGCACCAAAACCAAGAAAAACAGAGCTGTGGCTGAATTAATATGAATTTTAGAAGTTTTAGTCCGTTCTGTTCCAGTCTTATGTCAGTGATTGAAGTCGGAAACGAAATGGATACATTGTAACAGGATTTGACACTTTTATGAGTCCACGAGTTTCGATTCCATTGTTCCCCCAGCAGGGAGCCGCCAGTAGCTTGTCAAGAGGTTAAATGAGGCGTGTAGGGGCTCGCTGAGCTGAATCTGCAGAGCGGATGCATGGTTCTGATTGGCTGGGACGCAGCCATTGAAACGAATGGGAACGCGGTTTCCATTGAAACAAATGGGAGTGCAGTTTGATACGGTCAACCCATGATAGAGATAGAGCGGGAGGGAGGCTTAGGGAAAGATGGTGGGCTTATTTTGCCCGTATAGAGAGGGAGGGATAGGCATTTTATTTAAGAGGCCAGGGGTATAGTGTGGTGCTTGTGTAATGGTGTGGGGGCTGAGGGGTCAGGGCAAAGCTGGGCACCGTTGAGGTCATCGCCTCGGACCCCTTTGGTGGCCGGCGGAAGGGTGCGGGAAGGTACCTCCCCCTCCGTATCACTTGGCCAGTAAAGTGAGATGAGCGACGCAGCCCCATTGTCACCCTCAACAGGACCTCACGGTCAGGGGTCCCTTTACCTTTACCTATTGTCCTCAATAAACTCTTTATTTGCTTCTCCAGTATTCTTCAGATGGTATTTTAAGGAAGGGGATCAAGGGTCTCAGGACCCACTTCTTACAATGTATGAAGTAGCTTACAGCAAAAAAGCCTAATAACTCTTCTGGGTAACTGAATAAATTATTTTAATAAATATTTAAATGGAGAACATATTTTGCCTTCTCATGTTCATGCAAACATGGTTCTACTCCAATCTCACTTAGTATTAAATTGTGGATGGACATAGCAGACGCCACAGAGATTTCTTCAAGTGGTTCTTTATAGTAAGCTGGAACTGAACAGCAAACATCTCAGCCGGCCTGCTTTTATAGGCAGCCAGCGGTCAACATTGTAACAACAACATCCCAGGGTTTCCCGCCTAAATTGACTGATATGGACCCGAGTGAAAACTATACACACACAATACCCCTGGTGGCCAGGATGAGAACTTCAATACATAACACTTAGTCCCCACTTCCACCTCAGCAAAGAATTTTTTATACAAAAATCTCCTGGACAGAAGTCTCCCTGTTTGCATTATAGGGAGGGCTCAGCCTCTGTCTACCTTATTGCACATTCAATACACACAATGTCTTTTACCGTGTCCTGTATTCTCCTCAAAGAAAGACTCCAGAGACACAGGAACAGTGACAGGCAGCAGCAGCAGCAGCTTGACAGATTAGCTGGGGATTTTGATCCAGGAACGGAGCAGAGGGGGAAAGGGTAAGCAGAATCCCCCCCCCGGGTCACCCTTAGGTGTGCTCAGTCTCCACCTGCTTCATGACTCCACCTTGCATGAGAAAGGAGGATGGAGCTCCAGGAAACAGGAAATGGTCCTTAAACCAGCCAGGACATCTCACCATCACAGACAGATCCAGTCTCCTGCTGGGGAGTCAGGAGTGCCCCTGGGATGGCAGAATGCGGAGGGGAAGGGGCCAGGGACAGAAGGAATGGCAGGGCTCCAGATGCTCCCTTGAACCCCCCCTCCCTTGACACCAAGGGGAGCTCCTCTTCTGGGGCTGAAAGCATTGGCGTGGAGGTTAGTTTTTGTTAGGAGTGCAAGGAAGGGGGGAAAGGAAACGTAAAACACACCCACCCATGGACACACTAAGAACTGAATGAAAACAGGCCTGGCTGAAGGAATAGCTACTGGAGAGCATAATGTGGGGTGTAGCTGTAATGCTCACCTGCCTCCCTGGACTGGTCTTTTCTTGGGGTCAGGGAGCTGAGGTGGTCGATCAACATGAAGTTCCCAGGTTACCTTTCCTTCTGGTCAGCTATTCCAGCTCTTCTCCCCCCCCCCCCATTTCTTTCTTTATGGAGGGGCAAAGGCTATGCACTTTGTATAGATGCAACTACAACCCACAACTGAAATCTTCTGGGTGCACTGAGCTCCCCCCTCCCCGATAGAATAGATTCCCTCAGCATCTTGCCCCACCTCCCAGAAGGCAAGTTTATCTGGTTAAAGTGTTTGTTTCGGAGAACATTATATTGCATTTATCTTTGTATCAGCAGTAATAAATATATTAATTGGGTTATGAATAACAGTTTAGATACTGTCAACATGAACTTTGTCTGAGGTTTCAGACATACCCATTTCGTTCAAGAAAAGATGCAGAAAATACTTTTCCTTTTTTATTCTGGGCACTTGACTTCTCCCATCCTGCTACCATCCAGGCAAACATTTGAGGCAGATATCCAGGGCCCCACTCAGCAGCAGCAACAGGGGGAGGAGGAGGCCCCACAAACATTTCCCACATTTTGAAGTTAAATGATACAAAGCCCCTTCAAGAATTGACAGAAGCTTACCAGGGTACATTTCCTACTAGTCAGCTATTCAGGCTCCTCATTCCTCCCCATTTCTTTATGGAGGGTCAAAGGCTATGCACTTTGTATAGACGTAACTACAACCAACATCTGGTATCTTCTGGGTGTACCAAGGTGGCCTCCTTCTGCATTGTCAGCAAGTGACAAGTGTCCTGGAACAATCCCCAGTGTCTCTACAGAAAATGTTACTGATGGGCTTGTAGGGCCAGGGGACATAGGCAGTCTGCTAGGTGGATAGGGTTGTGGGATAGAAATGTCAATAACCAAAGACTGAACTGGAATAAACGTGCCTCAAGATTCTTTGTGGTTGACTGCCACAAAAATAAGAGAAAGAATAGAAATACTTAAATGCCCCTATTAATATTAATGAAATAAAAGAAGGAATTGTGACTTCTAAGAATGGTAAAGTCCCTGGTGCGGATGGCATTTCTTTAATGAATTACAAAAAAATGGAAGAGATCATATTACCAATGTTAGAAAAAATAATGAACAAAATTTTAGAAGGAGGACAAGTGCCAGAATAATGACAAGAGGCCCTAATTACATTGATACTGAAATATGGACCCAATTTAGAGTAAATTAAGATTTATAGACCAAGACAAATTTACAGCAACGTAAGATTGGCAGTAGATACAATAGTATACCTAGAAATGAGAGCAGATAAAAAGGCAGCCCTGATTTTGGTGGATGCGGAGAAAGCATTGGATCATGTTTTGGGGGCATTCATGCAAAACACTTTGGAAATGATGAGTTTGGGTGAGAAAATATGTAGTGGTATAAAAGCGATTTATAATTCCCAACAGGTCAGACTAATTATAAATGGTGAAACATCAGAAGCTTTTAATATCTCTAAGGGAACAAGACAGGGCTGCCCTCTTTCTCCTCTCCTCTTTAGCACACTTCTGGAAGTGTATTTGAAAGCAATAAGAGAAGACCCTAGAATAGAAGGAATTAAAGTTTGACAAAGGGCCTATAAGGTCGGAGCCTTCGCAGACAATCTAATAATTACAACAGAAAACCTTCTAGAGCAGCGGTTCTCAACTTGTGGGTCCCCAGATGTTGTTGGACTACAACTCCCATCATCCCTGAGCTCTGGCCTTGCTAGCTAGGGGTGATGGGAGTTGCAGTTCAGCAACATCTGGGGGTCCACAGGTTGAGAAACTGCTCTAGAAAGTACTATACAGTGGTACCTCGGGTTACATATGCTTCAGGTTACAGACAGTGCTAACCCAGAAATAGTACCTCGGGTTAAGAACTTTGTTTCAGGATAAGAATGGAAATCGTGTGGTGGTGGCGTGGCGGCAGCAGGAGGCCCGAATAGCTAAAGTGGTGCTTCAGGTTAAGAATAGTTTCAGGTTAAGAATACACCTCCGGAACAAATTAAGTACGTAACCCGAGGTACCACTGTATTAAGACCTCCCCATGTAAATTAGTGGATATTTCCTAAGGTTCCATATTGACTAAAGCTTCTCCGCTGTGTGAGTTTGCCAATGTAATGTAAGTTTATCCTTCCTGTTGAAGCTTTTTCCACATTCAGTACATTTAAATGGTTTCTCCCCCGTGTGAGTTCGCTGGTGTATTCTAAGGTGTCCACTTTTACTGAAGCTCTTTTCACATTCAATACATTTAAATGGTTTCTCTATGTGAGTTTGTAGATGTCTTCTAAGTATTACATTTTGACTGAAGCTCTTTCCACATTCAATACATTCAAATGGTTTCTCCCCCGTGTGAGTTCGTTGATGTATTCTAAGGTGTCCACTTCTACTGAAGCTCTTTCCACATTCAATACATTTAAATGGTTTCTCCCCCGTGTGAGTTCGTTGGTGTATTCTAAGGTATTCATTTTGACTGAAGCTGTTTCCACATTCAATACATGCAAATGGTTTCTCCCCCGTGTGAGTTCGTTGGTGTCTTCTAAGGTGTCCACTTTCACTGAAGCTCTTTCCACATTCAACACATTTAAATGGTTTCTCCCCCGTGTGAGTTCGTTGATGTATTCTAAGGTATCTATTTTGACTGAAGCTGTTTCCACATTCAATACATGAAAATGGTTTCTCCCCCGTGTGAGTTCGTTGGTGTACTCTAAGGTGTCCACTTCTACTGAAGCTCTTTCCACATTCAAAACATTTAAATGGTTTCTCCTCCGTGTGAGTTCGTTGGTGTATTCTAAGGTATTCATTTTGACTGAAGCTGTTTCCACATTCAATACATGCAAATGGTTTCTCCCCCGTGTGAGTTCGTTGGTGTCTTCTAATGTGTCCACTGTGACTGAAGCTCTTTCCACATTCAACACATTTAAATGGTTTCTCCTCTGTGTGAGTTCGTTGATGTCTTCTAAGTGCTCCATTTTGACTGAAGCACTTTCCACATTCAATACATTTAAATGGAGCCTCCCCCGTGTGAGTTCGTTGATGTTGTCTAAGGTTTCCACTATCATTGAAGCTTTTTCCACATTCAATACATTCAAATGGTTTCTCCCCCGTGTGAGTTCGTTGGTGTATTCTAAGTGTCCCACTTCTACAGAAGCTCTTTCCACATTCAATACATTTAAATGGTTTCTCCCCCATGTGAGTTCCTTGGTGTATTCTAAGGTCTCCACTCTTACTGAAGCCCTTTCCACATGCAATACATTTAAAAGGTTTCTCTTTTATGTGAGTTTGTAGATGTCTTCTAAGTGCTCCACTGTCACTGAAGCCCTTTCCACATTCAATACATTTCAATGGTTTCTCCCCCGTGTGAGTTCGTTGGTGTATTTTAAGTGTTCCATTTTGACTGAAGCTCTTTCCACATTCAATACATGCAAATGGTTTCTCCCCCGTGTGAGTTCGTTGGTGTATTATAAGTGTTCCATAGCGACTGAAGCACTTTCCACATTCAGTACATTCAAATGGGTTCGTTGGTGTGTTCTTAGTGCTCCATTTTTACCGAAGCTCTTTCCACATTCAATACATTCAAATGGTTTCTCCCCTGTGTGAGTTCGTTGATGTTTTCTAAGAGTTCCATTGTCCCTGAAGCTCTTTCGATAGTCAGTGCATTTAAATGGTTTCTCCTCTATGTGGATTCGTTGATGTGTCCTCAGTCTTCCACTGTGACTAAAGCACATCCCACGTTCCAGGCATTTAAACTGTTTCTTTGTTCTTCCCAATGAATTCACAGATGGCTCCATAGAATTCTGGCCATCAGGTTCCTCAGCTGTTTGGGAGTGGGGAGGAAGGGGAAGAGAAACCTGTTAAGACTTACAAGAAAGGAACTGAACACACTTCAATCGCAATATGCACCTTCTCCTATTTTAACACTGTCTCCTTTCTCCACTGTCCTATCTATATTCCAAACTTTTAGGAATGCAGATGAGATAATGGCAAGAACAACACATGGTTATTCCATTCACACTTAATAAACTGCATTATTTTATAATCTATGGTGGAATTGGCTTCTTAGACACATCTCTGTATTTCTCTTTTTCCAGGGAGGAAATGATCACATGTTCGAATAGCAGTCTCTCCTATGACTAAGAAAACTGAAGTGTTACTTTGCCACATGTAACTGTAAAAATATTCCAATATATTAGTATCCCCAAACATCCTCCAGATGTTTTGGGACTACAATTCCCATCATCCCTGACCACTGGTCCTGTTAGCTAGGGATGATGGGAGTTGTAGTCCTTAACATCTGGAGGGCCAAGTTTGGGGATGCCTGTATTAGAACATAAGAAGAGCCTGCTCCATTGGGAAAAGGCCCACCTAGTACAGCATGCTGTTCTCACAGTGGCCAACCAGATGCCTGTGGGAAACCAGCAAGCAGGATTTGAGTACAAGAGCCTTCTCTGCCTTCCTGTGCTTTCCGGGAACTAGTATTAAGAAGCATTATTGCCTAGGACCACGAGGGCAGAGCAGAGACGTCAGTCTAATCCTCTTTTTTCAAGCTATCCAAATTGTTGGCCATCATTCCTGTAGGATGGAATTCCATAGATTAGAAATGCAGAAATACAACTAAGAACACTTTCGGACCACAGATCAATAATTCTTGAACTAAAAGGCGAGAAAAATACTCCATTTAGAGTATTGCTCATATTTTGGGCAATAGAATGAAAGGTGTTTTAGCAGAAAAAATTCAGCACAATCAGGCCTGCTTTCTACCAGGACGTCAGATGAAGGAAAATATTGTTACGATATAGAAGCAATGCAGCTGTGAGCTGCTAGCTTGAAAACATCACATGATGTTGGGACTGTCCATGGGAAACAGAGGGACAGTCAATTCAGTGTTAAGCACCGGAATTAGCTCAGAGTGTAATATGAGCTGTACAGGAAGTACAGGAAGTGTTTGTCATTCAACTGCTGGAGCTTGAAGAGAGTAGTCATGTTTTTTGTAATGCTGCAAAGACAGAAATAAAGGCATGTAAATACGTTTCTGTCTATCTCTTTCCCCTGCTGGGGGGGCAAGAAAGAGGGTGTGTGTGTTCTCACGCTGAGAAGGATCGCCTATCGCGACCTCTGCCTGGATCTCGCTGAGGAATGCAGACAGGGAGGTTAACAGGAGATCAAGCCGGGTGCCTGGAGAGTTGCCAGTTACTACTCATATAGGCTTGAATCCCGACAAATATAAGGAATATAATTGATATTATTCAATACTTGGAAGTAAAAATTGAGAAAAAAGCGGGCTTAATGTTTATAGATGCTGAAAAGGCTTTTGATAATGTTTCATGGGCTTTTAAGAAAAAGATAAAAGAAAAAATGAATTTTGAGGAAGCATTTGGGAGAGGAATTGATGCAATTTATTTCTACCAACAGTCTATGCTGATTGTTAATATGGTGTTGACAGAAAAGTGTAAAATAAGGAAGGGGATAAAACAAGGATATCCCCTATCACCATTATTATTTATTTTGGTATTGGAAGCCCTGGCGAGGGAGACAAAGTGGAGAAATTAATTACAGGAATAACAGTAGAAAATAAAGCATATAAATTAAAAGCTTTCACAGTTCACCTTGTAATTACAGTGAAGGATTCCATAAATACTCCCCCAAAGGTGGTAGAAAAGATACAGGACTTCGGGCAGGCCGGGGGCTTTAAACTAAACAAGAATAAGACTTCTCAATGCCTTGTTTGCCTCAGTCTTCTCCGATAAAGAAAACAATGCCCGACCTGAAGAATTTGGAGCAAATGATTCAGCAGAGGAAACACAGCCCAGAATAACTAAGGAGATAGTACAAGAATACTTGGCTAGTTTAGATGTATTCAATTCTCCAGGGCCAGATGAACTGCAAGAGTATTAAAAGAACTGGCAGATGTGATCTCAGAACCACTGGCAGTCATCTTTGAGAATTCCTGGAGAACAGGCAAAGTCCCGGCAGACTGGAGGAGGGCAAATGTTGTCCCTATTTTCAAAAAGGGGGAAAGAGAGGACCCAAATAATTATCGCCCAGTCAGTCTGACATCAATACCAGGGAAGATTCTGGAGCAGATCATTAAGCAAACAGTCTGTGAGCACCTAGAAAGGAATGCTGTGATCACCAATAGTCAGCATGGATTTCTGAAAAATAAGTCATGTCAGACTAACCTGATCTCGTTTTTTGACAGAATTACAAGCCTGGTAGATGAAGGGAACACAGTGGATGTAGCCTACCTTGATTTCAGCAAGGCATTCGACAAGGTGCCCCATGATATTCTTGTAAAGAAGCTGGTAAAATGCGGTCTTGACTATGCTACCACTCAGTGGATTTGTAACTGGCTGACTGACCGAACCCAAAGGGTGCTCATCAATGGTTCCTCTTCATCCTGGAGAAGAGTGACTAGTGGGGTGCCACAGGGTTCTGTCTTGGACCCGGTCTTATTCAACATCTTTATCAACGACTTGGATGATGGACTCAAGGGCATCCTGATCAAATTTGCAGATGACACCAAACTGGGAGGGGTGGCTAACACCCCAGAGGACAGGATCACACTTCAAAACGACCTTGACAGATTAGAGAACTGGGTCAAAACAAACAAGATAAGCTTTAACAGGGAGAAATGTAAAGTATTGCACTTGGGCAAAAAAAATGAGAGGCAAAAATACAAGATGGGGGACACCTGGCTTGAGAGCAGTACATGTGAAAAGGATCTAGGAGTCTTGGTTGACCACAAACTTGACATGAGCCAACAGTGTGACGTGGCAGCTAAAAAAGCCAATGCAATTCTGGGCTGCATCAATAGTATAGCATCTAGATCAAGGGAAGTAATAGTGCCACTGTATTCTGCTCTGGTCAGACCTCACCTGGAGTACGGTGTCCAGTTCTGGGCACCACAGTTCAAGAAGGACACTGACAAACTGGAACGTGTCCAGAGGAGGGCAACCAAAATGGTCAAAGGCCTGGAAACGATGCCTTATGAGGAACGGCTAAGGGAGCTGGGCATGTTTAGCCTGGAGAAGAGGAGGTTAAGGGGTGATATGATAGCCATGTTCAAATATATAAAAGGATGTCATATAGAGGAGGGAGAAATGTTGTTTTCTACTGCTCCAGAGAAGCAGACACGGAGCAATGGATCCAAACTACAAGAAAGAAGATTCCACCTAAACATTAGGAAGAACTTCCTGACAGTAAGAGCTGTTCGACAGTGGAATTTGCTGCCAAGGAGTGTGGTGGAGTCTCCTGCTTTGGAGGTCTTTAAGCAGAGGCTTGACAACTATATGTCAGGAGTGCTTTGATGGTGTTTCCTGCTTGGCAGGGGGTTGAACTCGATGGCCCTTGTGGTCTATTCCAACTCTATGATTCTAAGTTTTTGGTAAAAAACACAATGGAGCAAGACCAAAAGAAATTACAACAGAAAACAGAGTTAGTTATACATAACAAAGTCAAATACTGGGATATCTGTTTGACAGCTAAGAATATTAATATTTTTAAGGACAATTACAAGAATGAGTGGAAAGAAATAAAAAGAGCTTTAGAGATATGGGGAAGAATGAATTTATCATTTTGGGGAGGAATATCAGTAATAAAAATGAATGTATTGCCAAAAATGTTATTTTTATTCTAAGCAGTCCAGGCAATAGGCAACACAGGATGCTTTGAAAAATGGCAAGAAGATATATCTAGGTTTATCAGACAAGGGACGAAACCAAGTATAAAAAATAAATTATTAACAGATGTAAGAGAGAGAGGAGGTTTCACCCTGCCGGATTTGAAACTTTATTATGAAGCATCCTGTATCTGCTAGAACCGGGAATGGATTACATTAGAAAACACAGATACTGTATTTTAGATCTGGAAGGACACAAATAATGTATAGCATGCATATTTATGGTAGGAAAAGGCCAAGGTGCATAGAGCTTTTCAGAATCATATAGTAAGAAAACCAATGTTTAGGGTATGGGAGAAGTATAAAAATTTGCTTCAGTAAAAAACACCCTGGTGGCTTTCCCCCTTGGAAGCAATATCTCTGAAAAAAATTGAATATGAGAAGTAATTGGCCGACTTACAGAGAGGTGTTAACTGAAGTTGAAAACCAACTGAAATTAAACGATTTTGAAGAGATAAGGGAAGCTGTACCTGACTGGTTACAGTACCATCAACTGAACGATATCTTTAAGATAGACAAAAAGAAAGGTTTTAGTTATGAGACATCACAATTTCAAAAAGAACTCTTAGCTCTTGGGAAAGGGACTTAGGACATAACATACAAATGGTAGATTGGGAGAGGCTTTGGAATACAGATCTGAAATTCACAGCTTGCTGTACATTGAAAGAAAACTACATGAAAATGATGTGCTGGTGGTATTTGACTCCTAGTAAGTTATCTAAAACGTATAGAGTAAGTTCAAATATCTGCTGGAAATGTACAGAACAAGCGGGTATCTTTTGCTATATGTGGTGGTCATGTAAGATAGCAGTATCATTTTG